GGCCGGGCAGGGCAGAGCATCTTTCGTCCAGTGTTTCATTCCTCCTTCCCCCCCTCCTCCCCCCGCGCTCCTTGAACCATCTTTGTGTCCCTCTGATTTAGAGAAGAACCAAACCTTTTATAAAGTCCAGGCGTTTTTCTACCAACAAAGTTTACAATTCTCCCCAGCACCGCGGAGCCCTCCTCCTCCGCCACCCAAGGGCTCCCCAGTCCAGCAGCAGCCGCGGACCCCACGCGCTTCCTTGGTCAAGGAAGAGAGCAACGTCGCCTACCGGGAACATCGCATCACTCGCTTCAGCATGCCGGACAAGAAGTTCTTCGAGAACCTGTCGGGAGAAGGGAAAGCCATCGGGGTGCTGACCAGCGGCGGCGATGCGCAAGGTAATCCAGCCCACCCCGCGGGCCTGGGGGGCGACGAGCGGGACCCGTGCCCAGGGCATAGATCTGGGGTCGCGATGCCTCTAGGGGGCGGTGTGGGTCGAACTGCAACGGGAGCCCATGTGGAGTGTGCACGGGAACGTGTGGTGGCGGGTGCGAATGGTGCTCTGGAATTGTACGGCGCCGGTAGAAGGGCAGCCGAGAGAGCTTGCTTTCCGCGTGGACGGAGAGTACTGAGAAAAGCGACGAAGGGGGCGAAGTTGTGGGTTGATTTATTACGTTTCTCTTCCGCCTTTCCCCACCCTGGAGCTCAGAGCAGCCTACGTAGGATGGCTGGACAAGAAAAAGAGAGTGGGAAACCACATGCAGTGGCAGAGGAGCATGAAAGTTGGCCCGAGTGAGAGTGCCTTTTGGGATGTGTGTGTGTGTGGGGGGGGTAATAGTAGGCCATGTAGTAGAGAACTTTGCCAAGGGGAGGGGGACGTTCCTCGGGGATTTCTGGCTCGCCCAGTCTGCGAGCTGCAAAGGGGCTCCGTTGCAGGCAGGCTCGACAGCGCTCCCCCCTCCCGTCACATTCCCAAGCGGGTGACCTTCTTCCAAGAGGAGCGAGCATCGCCCGGCTCCCTGGGAACTCTGCTCTCGCTCTTCGCCTCTCTCCCAGGAGGGAACAGCGGGAGAGGGAGATGGCCCAGGCGGGGCTATGGGGCTGGGCTGAACGCATTCACCGAGGAGGGGGGGGGCAGCTCTGCTCACAGAGGAAACCGAGCCGCCTGCGTTGCCTTGATATCCAGCCCCTTCCCTTCGTTTTATGGCCTTTTAAAAAGGGAGCCTGCGTGCCGGAATGAGATGTCCCAGGCGCCTATCAATGGCTAAGGGTTGCAAAACAGGAACTGCTTTCTCCAGAAAACTCCTGCATGCTTGAGATAACCCCGGAAAGTCTGGAGGTTGGTCTGGCAAAAGAGAAGCCAACGACGACGACGACGACAAGACCAACACAGGTTCAATTTTGAACAAATGAATCTATATGAATTAGCTCTGTTTTGCGCCTGCAGATCAGAATAACTCACATACATAGAGCCTACGGGTGAACAAAATGGGTTTCAGATTGTCCAATAAGTACAAAATAAACACCAGTTCCTGTGGCCTCTTAAAGAGGCATCTGGTGTTCTCATCCAGGAACGTTTATGCCACAGTTTATCTTCTGCCTTTCTCCTCCGTGGGGGCCCAGAGTAGTTTAGATCATTCTCCTCTCCTCCATGTTATCCTCATAAGAACCCTGTGAAGTATATTGGGCTGAGAGAGCGTGACTGGCCCAAGGTCAGCCAGCAAGTTTCCCTGGAAGGAGTGAGGATTCGAACCGGAGTCCTCCAGCTACTCGTCCCAGGCTCTTCACCACTACACCACCCTGGCCTTTGCGCCCCTTTTATCGTGTGGCCGTAGTAGCAGATCGCAACTAGCTTCTGGAGCCTTTGTGACAATGTGATGTGGACTAGGCACCATGAACGGAGCAACGAGGAACCGGGGGTTTTCGTTTCGTGTGACCCCGCCCCCCCCCCCCCAAGAGTGGCCAGGATCTCTGGCTCGCTTTGGCGTCCTCCTGCGCTCCAACAGTCGTGATGAGCCGGGCTGGTTAGTCTCGGGTGCCAGACGGCTCAGCAGCCCGTCGCGGTTTCCAAGGGGCGCGACGCCTCCCCGGGCCGCGGACCGCTCTCGGCCTCGCGCGTGGTCTGAAAGGCTGCGCGCCTTGTTATGAAACCGGGCCGGCTAGTTCTATTGGAAGCCAAGGCTTTGCCAGCTAAGACTTCGCGGCCGCCCCCGCCAGCCGAGTCAGGCCCTTGTCGCCCCCGGCGGAGGTTGAGCGCGCGGGAAGGGGTTAAAGAAAGCGGTCTGGCTGCCGGGCCGCGAGGAGGTGGTAGGAAGTGGTGTGATGCCAGGCGGCCGACGAGGAAGCGCGGCACACTGCCAGGAGTGGGCAGGGGTTCGACGCAACCCATCTCCTTCGTCCCCCCAGCTCATTATCAGTCAGGAGGAGAGGCGCACCCTTGGGCGCCTTCACTCCGAAGCAGGAACTTGGACCCGAGTAAATCCGCGTAGCGCGCCGGCTCCTTCCCCCTTCCCCGAAATCCTCGGAGTAACCGATCGACTTTGACTTGGCGCCACCTCCGGGCTTCGTGGCCCCGCCTCCAGTGTGTACGTGATTCATCGCGAGTCGCTGCGGCTTGTGCTCCGGTGCGTCATTTCTGGTGGAAAGGAAACGGCGCGCGCGCGTGCGGGGCTTGGTTTTACCGGGTCGAAATAAAGAGGGGTTCCCTTAAGATCTCGCAAATGATCTCTGCTGCAGCAGGGCTGTCTATGAGTCCAGGCTTACACCATTTTTTAAAAAAATTGTTTGCGTTTCAACTGAAACGCAATGACTAGTACACACATGCACACTCTCTTTTGTGGTTAGGGACGGGGGGGGGGAATGGAGACGGGGTTTTCCAGACAAGGCTCAAACTTGGGCTTCTTAAGTGTACTTTTATTTAATTAATTGATGTGTACCCCACCTTTCTCCCCAGCGGGGCCCCAAAGCGGCTCACATCATTCTCCCCTGTTCCATTTTATCCTCACAACAACCCTGTGATGTAGGTTGGGCTGAGAGGGTGTGACTGGCCCAAGGCCACCCAGCGAGCTTCCATGGCACAAGTGGGGATTCGAACCTGGGTCTCCTTAACCCCTACGTCTCACTGGCTCTTAGGTTGCAGTGGATGTGCACATTTGCCAGGGAGTAGGTGCCACTGAACTCAGTGAGACTTAATTTTTGTGCAAACATGGGACTGGGATCAAGCTGTTACACTCCTGTTGTGAATACTCCGTGTAGCCTTGGAGACTGCCGCAAAGCCTTAAGGCAAGCAGTTTTCTCCAAACATAGAAATGGACTTGCAATCTCTGGCATTAATCACACCAGCCGAAAAACGTGACTAGTAGATGCCAGCGTCCTCTACACTGTCTCTACCGTGCCAGGAGAGTGCTGGTGTCTGGGGGGGGGGGATCAAGTCCACTTTCTAAAAAGAAAATAAATATGCGTGGGCCAGAGGGTGAATCCTGGCACTCATTCTTGCATGACTAGAGCTTATATAACCAAGGCAGCTGTTTGTATGAGAGGAAAAACATTCCTACCATGCTGCAACATTTAAACCTCTTCCTGAAATGAAGCCATCTTCCTTAGAGTTGCTTATCTGAGGCTGCGATTCTAAATGTACTTACTAGGGAGTAAGTCCCATTGAACTCTGTGGTAAAGTTTAGGGTTGTAAAGAGCCAAGTGACAACTGTAGCATGTAAAAAACCAAGAGGGAGGAAGGCGAGGTCTGGAAGCTGGGACTGTGGCCAAACCCTGTCTTCAGGCAGTGTTTTGTTTTCTTGCAGGAGGCAAGAGGGAAAAAAAATAAAAGAAGTCAACGTAAAGGCTTTGAATGTTTCTTTTATCTGGAGGAAGATTAAGAGTATCTCTCTGGGAAGAGGAAGGGGTGTGTGTCTGGTTTTATTAACCTGCCTGAAACAGAACCGCAGGCAGCCTATATATCGAATACGTGTTGTGCTAGTATTCTGGGAACAGGCGTGCAGTGGGCACCTATGAGTCATGGTTTTTCAAGGTCACTGAGACAATATGGGCCGAGTGTGTACTGACTAATATTGATAATTTTGAAGAATCATTCAAGGACGAAACAAGAAAAGGCTAGAGGGATGAGAATGTTTGTATAAAACTCTAGATCTACTGGTTTTCCTGCCCTTTTGATATCAAAGCATGCATCTTTTAGAGGAAATATATATTGTTTTGGTTTACAAGAGACCATGGACAGCTTTATGTCTCTGTGAACGTACTTCACCAGGGCCTGGAAGCAGAAGAGAGCTAATATGAAATGTTCCAAACAGCCTAGGCTTTTAATTGAACTTTCAGAAATGCTATAACCAATTAAAGCGTAACTTGTGAAAACAACCTGCTGCACACTATGCCTCTGTGAGGTGGTTTACAATTGTACGATTAGCTTGGGGTTTGGATTTCAGTGACTCACTAAATCAAAAATCTTAGACATGTTTATATGTCTCTGTACCAGTGACCTTGTCTTCCTTAACAATTTATAGTTTCTTGGCTTTCTCTTCCTGTAGTAAGACTAGGAGTTGAATGTTCTTGGAATGTGCATAAATGGTTTTAAAATGTAGGAGATAAAGCTGCAGCACACTTACTAGGGAGTAACAGTGCCCTCCTAAGTAGGTCTACTCAGAGTTTGACTTAGGTCTATTCGTTAGGGCTTACTTCCAGAAACAATGTTCTTGAGGTTGCACTGTGGGATACTAAGGTGATGTACCTCAGATGAGGCTGTCAGCTTTTTTCCAAGTGGCCGAATACTGAGTACATGTACTCATTGCTGGGGATGCTTGAAAGAAAAGACATCCTTGTGATGTCCAGACATTATGAGTAACATAATATGAAATTGGTACCTCTTTAAAAGAAAAACAGGCTTTGCTGCAAAGGAGTCCTGAAGTGCTTAACAAAGAAGGCCTTGAAATGAAGCATAACTTGTACCAGCTGTTTATTTTATTTTTTAATTTATTTCTCTATTCTGTACTCCATATTTCTTCCTCATTGGGACCTCCTTCTGATCTCCTCCATTTTATCCTGTGAGGTTACACAACCAGCATCCAAGGCAGTGTGGTGATCTGAACCTGTGTCTCCCAGATCCTACTTTGACACTCTTAACAACTACATAACCCCGGCTCTCTTCTGTGATCGCTTACAGGTGTATCACATTGAACAACTGGTGAAATCTTACTGCCGGCTGGCAGGCGAGCAAACAAGCATGGGCGTGGGAGGGAGATGGGATTTCCCCCCATGAGTATGACAGGGCCCTTGTGTGCAATGCTCCCTCTAAGCTATGGAATCCTGTGAGCAAAAATTCTACTTTGTGAGCTACTGGCATTAAAGTTGTGAGCGAACGATTTGGCTACTGCATAGATTAGTTTGC